TTTGAAATTTTAGCGAGGATGTACATTGTACAGCTGAATTTGCAGGAAATGACTTCCATTTATGTCTGGGAAAGACAAAATGCAAGGGAGGGGGAAGCTGCATCAGGACTGTTTTGGTGAATTTTACAGAATCTCACCCACCCAGCTCTAAATTTCTGTGGAGATCCCTTAAAACCCAGCTTCAGTGTATTCGTGCTAAGTCTTGCAAATCACGTCGATAGGACAATATTTTTGGTGGTGCGCCTAGATTTTAGCCTGTGCTCCTAACTTTTAAGGGTAAGGAGCACAGTGCTCCTAGGTCAAAAATTAATTTTGAGCCCTGCGTGCATGTGTAGGGCTGAGGCGGAAAAATCACTACATTAAACCACTCGACAGATTGACTACAATCATCGGGCCGACACTCTGGGCCGGAGTATCAAGGCTTTGAAATCTGGTGCCAGGCTGGTGGGCGTGGTTATCTTTTGTTCGTCCTCCCTGATTGCCCTCCCCACACAATTTTGCCACGAGCCGCCGGGCTGGTAAAGGAAACCTCATAATGTTTTAATGCCGAAAAATAAAAAGGCGCACACGAACGATTTGTAGAATAAATGTATACAATACCTGCTGTTTTTAATAAAGAACGATGATGCCGTAAAAATGTACGTGTCATGAAAAATCTTAAACAAAATCCATAGATGCAAAGTCCAGTTTGGAATGTTTTTTTGCAAAATAATTTGTTTCCCCATGGCTGTGATTGATCTGGAGGGCATACTATACAATTATCTGCTGCCTAGTTTAAACTCAATGTCAAGTTGCCAACACAATTACTTGGATTTAGAAAAATTAATATACAATCATGGTGCTATTGCCTCTCCTTTAAACTATAAATCATGATGTTTTTGTGGTCATTTGATTAAGTTCATGAAGTTGTCCATGTACAGGTTATCCCAGCTGTATTTTGACATTGATGAGCTGCTGTCCAACGACACAGAGCTGCTAGGACTGGAGAACCTGGTGGAAGACTACCAGGCACTGCAGGAACTGGTGGAGTTCTTCAACAACAGAACTGCAGTTGTACATCGTAAGGGACATTTTGGCACAGTCAGTCCTTATCTTTATAGTCATACATGGAATTGTATAACCTTCTTTGCAGGCTATAATATGAGTCATACTTTTCTGGGAGGTTTATAGTTATAATTGTGCTCTTCTGGTCTGGCCCTAAGAAAAGTCAGGTTTCAGGGGTGCCAGAGTGTCAGTGCAATTTTACGGTATACAGCGCAAGTTTACTAGTATACAGTGCAATTTTACGGAATGCAGTGCAATTGTATTAGTATATATACAGTGCAATTTTACGGAATACAGTGCAATCGTATTAGTATACAGTACAATTTTACAGAATACAGTGCAATCGTATTAGTATACAGTACAATTTTACAGAATACAGTGCAATCGTATTAGTATACAGTGCCATTTTACAGAATACAGTGCAATTTTACCAATGACGTAACCTGGGCCTGGCTTTCCGGGGACGCCACTGACGGAGCGTACACTCACGTCTTTCTGTGTTTTTCAAGCGAATTTGAACCTTTCTCATAGATTACCTTTAGTCAAATCACTACATACTACACACAGGGCATGTTACTACACAGGGATCATTTCGAATTCGCTCGAAAAAGACAGAAGTATTTGAGTCAGCGGCATCCGCCATCTTGAAACTGAGAAAACTGAGGGCTAGGGAAAGCCTGGTCCAAGTCACGTGATTCAACGTCACTAATAAAATTGCACTGTATTCCGTAAAATTGCATTGTACACAGTATACTAGTCTAGTACAATTGCACTGTATTCCGTAAAGTTGCACTGTATACTAATACGATTGCATTCCGTAAAATTGCACTGTATACCTAGTAAAATTGCACTGTATACTGTAAAATTGCACTGTATACTCTGGCACCCCTGGGTTTGAGATCAGAAAATAGCAAGAAAAACAGCAAGAAAAATGTTAATATGCCGACAGTATGAACTTTTGAAGCAGCACCCGAATTGTGTAGCAATCCTTTTTTAAAGTGGTTAATCACGAACCAGCAAGTTTTTTGTAAGAAATTGCAGATGTCACTAGAATGTTCCATTTGTTTACCAAATTTTCCTCTTGGGATGTTTTATTTAAGCTACGTGGGCAAGCACCATCTTGGAAAAAGCAACTCCATTCACTTAAAAAAATTCTAATGAACGCACACACTTCTATGTAGTACATATATCTTTATTGAAACAATTGTGAATAATTTGATATTCTATTTGGGTTAAATGCAGAATACATTCACACTGCACATATTTCCCCCTGCACGAAAGTGGGCTCTCCCTATTACCCGACTTGACCTTCTCGGAGCCATCTTTAATTCGAAAATGACATGGTCACGATCATTTTGGGCAAAGTTGTCGTTGC